AACAGTTACCATGAAATACTGTTTAGTACATCCTTGCTTCTAGCTCTGCATTTTTATCACATATAAGATAGCACCAAGCCCTGCCAAAAGTCTCACTTGGACAAAGAACAAACTGCTTCCCAAGACAACACGACATTTGAACATTTTAACCTGGCATGAAACTTGAAGCAAGCATCTGCCATGTTCTGGGCAAAACACTGCAGTGAAATATGCTGCACTCACTGAAGGAAGCTACTGCCAGCTCTTGAGGAATACAAACCTACCCAGCACAAGAAATTCCAACGAATGGATAAAGCACTATAGAGCCACCATCCTCTTCTGAACGTGGAGTGGGGAAAGGAAGTCTGCAATCTAACTACTTCGTGTAAGTCTTCACAGTAATTTTTGGATGTCTCCATGGAAAAGGCTACAAATTCCAACGAAGAATAACCTCAGTCAAGCTTCCTTTATGATGAATGGGGCAACATACAGCTTCCAGTGTACAACTTCCAACATACAGCTTTGCAACCAACTTGTTTTATACATAAAAACTTATTGCATCAACACAGGCTTCATATTTATGAACATTAAACCTACCTCTCTGGATTACTGCAAAATTGTATCTGACTAAATAAACAGATCTGATGCCTCACTTTTCCCATCAAGTTTTCTACGGTTTTGTTTTATTCATGTTTTTTCCTTTCTTATTTTTCCAATCTCATTTGGGATTTTGGAAATCTTTCCAAGGAGTCCATGTATGCGTGAGGTAGAGGGAAAAGCAATTCCAAAAGCACAATTCTGAATAAAATTGAAGGCAACGTTAGTAACACAAGTTCCGTGGATCAACACATCATTTTATAAAACTGAAAGTGATGCACAATAGTTAACTGTTAAGCTTTATCAATCTGCTATAATTCTATTCTGGAAAAAAAAAAAAGGAAAAAAGAGCTAAACAGCAGACACATAACTGCACACCTTCAGCTTGCAATTTAGAAAATATTTTCTGCATGCAAATTAGATCAAATAGCGTGGGGGGGGGGCGCACGGGAGCACACATGCATTCTTTCTCCACTTCAAGAAGAAAAAGAAACCCCTAATCTTAGACTAGATGCTTTCAAATACGCAGTTCTGTAGCTTTGCTATAACAAGATTCCCTCCTACACAAAATTCTTGTGAAAAAGTACTGGTTACATTAAGCTGAACAACTCAAAGTCAGGAGGGATCAGATCATCAACATATATTAAGGGTATTATTCTGAATATGATCAGTAAGTGTAGCGAAACCGCCAAACAGTTCATTGTTTCCCCTCTTCTATTTTAAATAAATACAGAAAGATCAATGAAGAACAGAAGGTTAATCTGGCTCCCACCCCAAAAGCCAGCAGGTTTTCACTTACATGATTTGATCACTGGTAAAGTTTTTCAAAGACCCTTACATGATTTCAGATTTTTAAATTCCTTTTATAAAATGGAATTTGGCATTTATCATCATTAAGAGCAAATAATATTTGGACTTCTAAAACTCCTTTTGAGAACCATGGAGTTAAAATATCAGAAATACCTAAAAAAGACAAAACATGTTCCGATAAAGAAGGGAAAAGAGGCTTGGTTAAGAACTTTATTCAGTATCATAACCACTTATTATAAGTAGATGAAGGCAATTACGTTTTGACAGTTTAATATGAACACTGCACCCAAAACATCAACATCGTGGCAAATTCACTGAGCTGTGATGCAACAGGGAAGCTGTTTTTGAGACAAGCATTACCCGTGTCTGTGCTGCCAGTCTTCCAAGCCACAACACGAGATACATCTCAGCACAGCCAGCTACAATCAACCAGCGTTACTGGAAACAACTGCTTCCACAGCTTCTACAAGCCCTGAGGCTAGCAGCTAAGAGTAGATGGAAACTTCACACATATGTATATATGTTTACTTAGACACACATAGTACCCTACATGAATGTAACCATGTTAAGCAACAATTCAAAAAATATCAGTGCTGTCCTTTACCCGACTTACTGGTCAATTCAGAGCAGTGAATATAGGTCATTGAGCACACAGCACGAGGAGCCAGACTTTCATTTGCCCTACAGCTACCTGGATGATTAAACCTTCATCTTAAAGAAGCCATTACCAAGATGAGACAGCAATGGCTATGAACTTTACCCTAGGAAGAAATGGAAGGAGAAGCTTGTTTGTTTCTTCCCATGTTCTGGCTTACGAAAAATAGGATTTGCATTTTCGCCACGAAACACAGTGCAAAACTTATGCTGTTACTGTTGTTTAAAACAAAACACACACACAAAAAAACCAGCTGACACCTGAACCCAGAGCAACACACATGCATGGTTAGAGGCTCATGGTAGGGAAGACGAGGTCTGAAACATCTCTTAGACTTTATTTTTTATTTCTCTTAGAACAGAAAACATCAAGGTTGCAACAGGCCTTAGTTCACCCCACAGGGAGGCTAATGATAACATTATGCCTCTGCATACATAACCTTCTATTTCCTTATTTTTAAAATAATTTAATAAAATTTAAATAACTTTAAAAGTTTTAACCAAAAGCTTTTGACGATTTTTTAGGTAGCTATTTCAAAAGGAGAAGTAAAGGCAGAGTAAGCATCAGAGAATTCCTCCAAACTCCTATGATGGTTAATCAAGGTTAAAAGAAACCCTAGTAAAGACAAGGTAGTGGTGCTGAAGACACCTATTTGGTTCAATCCTATTGCTTTTAGAAAGGATTTCAACTCCACTCAGATTGACTTCTGAAGCACCGTTAATAAGGGAAAATTGTATCCATCCATGAAAGGCCATAATCATTCTTGCATATTTGATGATGTAAACAGGTTTTCCAATTGAGAGTTTACATTATGCAGAAATTGCCTTTATAGTAATCCTTACAGTCAGTAAGCATGGGGGTATTTTTGAATAGCATTTAATGAAATTTTTGAATTTGTTATCACCACTGGAAGTAACTTTGCTAAGCAATAAATATAAGCACCAGCCTAAAACACACTCAGTGGTGAAGAAAATAATCTGCCATGTACACAATCCCAAGAAGGCATTATCTCATTCAGAAGTAGAACAGATAAGCATTGGAATGATCAAATAATTTTTTTCTTAATTAATGGAGCAAAGCAAAGAAGAAAGTGGAATGAGCCTATTCCATGCTCCAAACATTGACAGTTTCAAGGCAAAAACATACGTATTGAAAAGGACATGCTTCTTGACTCTTTTTAATGTTGGCCACTGCCTCCTGACTTACTTTAAGGAATTCTCACACATGCCCTTAAATTTCACTGAAGAGCTTACCTATTTCAGCTTGTTTCCTAGAAAGCTTCTTCAGTGAATGCAGTATTTCCCCAGATGAGGAAACCTGATTTTTCAAGATTGAATCATGGCTAGAAGGACTAAAACTAAGCATTCAAATGTCTTCTACAAGCTCCAATTATGAACTATCATACAGACAGTGTGCTGTACACACCCAGAAAACTGTTTCCCAGATTTCCTAATCTGAAAATACAAACAAAAAAAAAAATGGAAATGCGGAAACAAGATACAGCATATATAAAATGGCAAATAAAGGCTGACAACACTTGTGTATACTTACTTACTTTCTGGTGATAAAACAATTACTGTATGAAGACTGAATAAAAATAAAAAGATTTAGTATGATTACATTTTACACAGGTATATGCCAACACACTTATATTTAAGCATATCAAAAGGTATCCAGCAGTAGAATGCAGGAAAAAAAAAAATCAGTAGCTTATTCATCAGAAAACAGTAATATTATTGACTTTTTTCCCTCTATGCTGAAGCTACTCTGAAAAAATTAATCTATGTAATAATGTATTTAAAAAAAAAAAAAAAAAAAAATCTATCTAGAAGTAAACCCAAGTGATCTCTCAGAGCGTCTTCTTATCCTAAAGGCAAAACCAGCCACCTTTAAAGCCATTCCTGACACACTTCCACAGCTTCTTCCCAAAGATCTCCAATGACATACTACGTAACTTTTCAAAGCTAGCTATACCAATGACTTGCTATTCTTACTGTTAAAAAAAAAAAGAGTTTTCCTCATGGTATCTTCACCACTGTACTTCATTTTTTACAACTGTAATGCTAGTCTGAATGGTTTCATATGAGCGAAAGTCAACTGAAGTTGTTCGTGTTTCCCATGGCCAGAGATCCTTGCTCGCACATTTGCACCAGTCCATCTGCATGAGCACTGGTAAAAAGCTTCACTGAGCTGCTATGGTCAGCGCACTATACAGACACATGAACATCAGCGTAGGCACTAGGACAGCAGTCAGAGGCATCAGTCCATGGAAGTCCAGGAATAAACAAGGAGAAGTTGCCATTAAACTCGAACATAACTACATGTGTGTGGAAACCACAGAATGTTACATCAATTTAACTCTACTGACACTAGCAAATTGTATCACTTTGACTTAGTCAACATGAATGCAAAATTTGCACAAAATCTGTGTAGGGTGGATCTCTGAGTAACTGGAAGCAAAAGCAGCCACTGACTCTGCACAATGAGAAGGTTTTAGAGGGATCAGTAGCCAATCGAAGAAAGTCTTCAATGTGTCCGTGCTTTGATATATAAGCCAGTAAAGAAGGAATAGTACATTTATTTTCTCATTTTTTGCATTGCAGAGTCCTGTCCATTGAATGCTGGAATAGTTTCTCCATTGGCCATCAGAAAGTTATCAGGTATTTTCAGGGAAAATGCAGAAGCGTTAGGCAGAGAACTGGTGACGGCAGCCACACTTTTTATACCGATGGTTACTACTCAAGGAACTCATCCAAGACATAGAATACTTAACATCCCTCTTTTCTCTGAGGGACAGAATATGAGGCTTTACATTAAAGCCACCATTTGCAACAGGTAGCCCTTGAGTTAAGTACAGGTACCAGAAATATTTCCCCTGATCCCTGACTGAACATACCAATCTATGCCCAGATGTTCAGCCTGCTGTGCCAATCTGGGTCCATGGGGCTAAGGAAAGCACCACAACTGGTCTGCAGTTGTCTTCAAACGGCTGTCCAGGTCAGAGCCTGCAGAAGACTGGACCACCATTTGGCATGCATGTTCTTCTGGGCTGACTGAATCTCTCATGTCAATCATGTTCTATTTTGCATAAATAATTAAACATTCAATGGAGAGTCTGACATCAAGTGGGTCAGACTCAAAGAATGCCCTGTGTCTGACCATGAACACTGAAGTATTATTCTCACTCCTTAATACAACATTTAAATAGCGGAGAAATGCCCCTCTCCCCCCCAGTACACAGTAATACCTCCATACACCCTGTGGAGAGGCGATTACATCATTCTCCTGGAAAGTCAGTGGAAAATGAAGTTTACTGTGGTTTCTCACGTCCTGAGAAGGAACCATGAGAATCCTCTGCACTATAAGCCCCTGAAAATGGAATGTTTTCTTCAACAAGAAAATATAGAAAGTCAATTGGGAGATTGTCACTTCAGTACAGTAGCAAAACTCAAACAGAAAATGAGAACACATAAGGAGAAAAAGGAATTATTTTGATCTGAAGTTCCTTCTCACTACTTTCCAATTTTCAGTTCAGCTACCCTGCCGAAAACTCAACTGCACTTAACCTGCCCTTGAACTCCCCATGAAATTATGGCCAACTTTTGGCAGCCATGTCAAGTGACCTTCAAAGGAGCAAGAGAGATAGGTCACTCGTGGGTAATATTCTTTTCCATGAGCAGCCAGTATGGGAGGAACAACAAATTCATATTTGGAAAAACAACTTCACAGCAACATTGGCTCTAGGGGCAAAAAACAGAATACAAAGCTTTTGTTGGAAGTATAACTGAGTGGTGTGGTTAGATAGCTGCTGAAGTAAGTGTGCTGTAAGAGCACAAACGAGGATATTCACAGAACTACTTAAGCTCATAAGGCAAGCCTATGTCTCTCTGTATGCTTAGAAACAGAAGTGAAAAAAATCCCAAAACCTTCTGGGGTAACTGCAAATAGCTTTCTAAGCTATTTACTGCCTGTCTTCTGAAGAAGTCTGTGACACGGTCAACAAGGTTAAATCTTAAATAAGGAAGACAGACCCAACACACTCTCCCCCTGCATGTACTTCTTATTTTTGTGTATTTTTTTTTATGATTTCTTTGCGCTTCCTTTCAGCTCTTCTAGCAGCATTCCTGATAGATTGTACTTTTTTATAAAAGCCATCCAAAAAGACCCCTGAACTGACAATATGTTAAAAACACTATTAAAGTGGTAACCACAGGGGGAAAAAGTTCCACTCCCAGTTTTAAACAACTTAGCTTTACAGTCAAATCCCAAGCTTTTCAGCAGAAGGACTAGAAAGAGCGGTGCAGCTAAGCCAAGAGTGTTACAACACACAGGAATTCAGGTTCAAAAGGAACCATCTGGTTCATTCAGTTCACTGAAACTGCAATAGGTTTTTAGCCCTGAAAGGTCAATGCCACATCCATATGTACAAACTGGAACACTTCCAATGCACTATAACAAATTAAAAACCTTTTTACATATTAGAAGTTACCTAAAAAACGTAATAAAGTGTCAAAAGAAGTAACACACACAACTGTGCGCAAGCAAGTAGGACAGATCGCCAGTGTCCTACAATTCTGAAGTGACCTTTTAAGTATTTTATACTTAATTCAGAATTCTAAATAAGGCTAAGAACTATTTTAAAAAACTATGTTTCAATTATATAAGACAATGATGACAAAATTAAAACTTAGATCTGATCCAGTAACTGTCACTAGGTCTGCTAGTGTGGAGGAGGTGATAAATATCCATTTTCAGCTCTGAATTTCTTGTCTTTTCTCTGTGTTAAATCCTCTTCTAACATTAAAAAAAAAAAACCCAAACAATAAAAAAATCCCAGTTTTCATCTTCTCTGTTCTGCCTACAGCCACCCCACCTCTGTGTTTCCCATCTGTCTACTCCTTTCTTGTTGTTCTTCAACTAAATAACTCCCAAAAGATCTCTCTTGGCTCTGCTTGCCAGTCTAACTTGGCCAGCCCCACCACTACAGCAGGCTAGAAGGTTGCAGGTAACCCAGCTGCTCAGTTTCCACCGGTCTGGCAAGCAGTCTTGCTAAAGCTTTCTCACCCTAACCTGTCTCAGTTTCAGATGACAGGCTTTAGGTACACCTTTTTGGAGCATTAATGAGTATTTCCTTCTAATCAATTCAGTATTTAGTATTGGCAAATAAAAAAATCCAGTACATGCTTCAAATACAAATTTTAAGGAAGAATCTCCCTTACTCTCCCATCTTGGTCTGTTCAGTATCTGATTCCTTTAACGCTTCGCTATCCCATCTCTTTGAGGCCTAAGGGCATTCTCCCTGCTCAGCATCTCTATCCATGCTTACAAAAATGCAGATAGACAACAATTATGATATAATGTATTTTCAGTTCAACACAGAAAGGAAAACATTTAACTCTGATTATAACACTTTGTGCAATTTGTCAGTTACGAACTGAGCAGTAAATAAAAGTAGCTATCACAATGGCTGATGTTTAATTTTCTGTATCCTATCTTGAATGAAACTACAACTATGCAGGATATTTTATATCCCCAAATATTTATAAGTCCCTTAACAAGTCAGTTTCTATGTGTATTCCTTCAATTGACAAATTCAGTTCTAAACAGTACATTATCAAATTCCTTTTAGCAAAGGCCAAACTGATTTAGTCCAAGGAAAATAAGAACACAAAGATATTCCAGTAACTACATTTACCTAATACATAGCAAACCTGGAAAAAATGGGACAAGAGTCAAAGGCTGATAAAGGTGTTTCCAAGACAGATGTTGCGACATTCAGCGTTAAAGCACGTGTCGCTTGAAATGGAAACTAAAATTCAGAGGTAGCCACCATTGTGTCTCATTCATTGTACCAAATCACAGAAAAATGGAAGGTCACCAAGTATATTCTGTTATCCCAAGACATAGTTCATCTTAGACCGTTTGGGGACATAGCTAAACTGCCATCCCCACATTAACTTACCCTTACTAAAGGAAAACTTTTTCTTTATTTGTAACACAACTTCTTGCTGCAACTAAAACCATTATTGCTTCGTATTCATCAGGAATAGCAAAACCCACGGTTTATCCTTGTCACAATTTCCTTTAACCACAGCAGCAGAAACAGTTGTTCCCTACCCCTTAGTTTTGTGCCATTGATTATTCCTGACTAAATAACTAATTGCACTTGACCCTACTGAATTGCATTATCTTTCTAATCCGACTGGAACTCTAATATTGCCCTCAAACACAAACACAGCCAGGCAGTCCTCCCCCTAGTCACTTCGTTGTCTACTGAAATTACCAATTATACTGTCCATTCCATAATATAAACGTATATAAAACAACTGGTCTCTGATCCCTGCAAAACCCCACTAATAGTGAGCCACGTATGAGGGCTCTCCCAATACAATTTTGCAGCTTTTCGTTTCCCACCACACAGTAATTTTATTTAGATCCTGAACGCTTCTCCTTGTGATCAGTGAGAAACTCTGCTGAAGTCAGGACATCTGCTGTTTCTTCCTCACTCATAATATGTTATCCTGTTGCAGAAAGACATTAGATGCATCTAAGATCATTCAATCTCTTAAAATCCATGTCGGCTGCTACACATCAACAGGGGGGTGGGGGAGCTGAAGGAGGGCTAGGTTACCCAGAATGGCAATTAAAAAAAAAAAAAATTAAAAAAAATCCATCTACTGAATAGAGTTAGCCTACAGGAAATTGTAAGCACAGATCACACCTCTAACCTTTCCTCATGAACATGGGTATCAAATACCTGGGTATTCCAAAACTGACTGCATGGCCTTAGAACAGGATTGTTCTTTAAAATAAGATGACTTAGAAAAAAAATTGGACTGACACTTGAAAAATTTGACTGCCAAAGGAAGAAGAGTTGAGCTTTGCTTCAAAAGGTTAGTGAACATTTCTTTAAGAGATGGGAGATCTAGATGCAGTTTTCTCTGCAACCTGAGAGGATTGAAACCTGCAATTCTTACATCCAAAAAGAGTATCCCAACCACAAGTCTAGGGAACAGCCTCGGGAAATCAATTTTTAAACCCTTCCTTGAAGCTCTGTATATGGGGAGAACAACAAGCAGAACACTCAGCTGGAAATGAGAAATCTTCTGTTTTGTCTCACTGTCCTCAGTATGTGTATGCATATACTCTGCAGCTTATATTTTAACATGAGCATTTGTACATGTGCATACAAATAACATTTCATCCAATTACATTCAATAAATGTACATTTTGTGTGCATGTGCATGATGTCTTATACCACTAGTAAAGTCACTGGGTTTTACTTCCTATGTTTTGAAAGTTTTAACATAGTTTTCAGTGGAAAAAAATTTGAAAGAGTCCATGAAACACTACCTTCCATTTAGTCCAAAAAGAATTGTGGTTTTCTGAGATTCACAAAGCACTTCTTGCTCTTCCATGTGGGTGGGAAGGAAGCAGCAACACGTAGTCCAAGGGCAATCAAAAGAGACTTCAGGGCCTTGGGACGGTTGGTAAGGGAATCTGGAGCACAGGTAATTTTTTCCTCTATCCTTCCAGTTGTGGGCAGTGACATTGGAAGAAACAGATGGACTCAGTCTATTAATACATGGCTCCGTGGCTAGTGTCACCGCCACAATTTCGGGTTTGTCAATAATGGGATGGTCTACATGGCACCGGGCCTGCTGGCGTCAAATGGGATTCACCTTTCTCAAAGCGGGAAGAGGGTTTTTGTTCATGAGCTAGCAGGGCTCATTGACAGAGCTTTAAACTAGACTTGAAAGGGGAGAGGGATAATATCAGTCCGTGACAAACTGTGGGATGACATGCCAAGGTTAGACAGGGTGCTAGCAAGGGCCCTCAGCCTGTTGCTCCGATATGTGCTGGGTACACTGGAGCACACTTGAAGTCTCACAGAGATGAGCCAGGGGCTCCTGAGGTAATAGGAGCCAACAGGGAAACGCCAGTGATGTACTTCAAAGGAATTAAGGTGTGTTCCTCTAAGAAGGTAACATGGCCAACAGCCCAGCTAAGTGCCTCTACACCAATGCATGCAGCATGGGCAACAAACAGGAGGAGTTGGAAGCTTCTGTGCTGCT